CTGGTAAAGGGTGATGGTGCTGGTGTTGGTACTGTTGCTGGTGCTGGTGTTGATGCTGGTGTTGATGCTGGTGCTGGTGTTAGTGTTGGTGTTAGTGTTGGTGTTGGTGCTGGTCTCACCTTCGCAGCGCAGTGCCGTGCTTCCCTCAGTCTGTTTCCTGCAGACGCAGCAGAAGCGTTTCTTCTGACCCGCTGGACCGAAGCAGTGAGCCACCGGCACCTGCAGGTACACAACATTTAGTTCACAGGTAAACAAGAGTAAACAAACAGGAAATACAGCACTGAACAACAGCAGCTAAAACGAGGAGATTCTTTTCTCTTTTTTCTGTAAATCTGTCGAGTCTCTGAAACCAGATGTGACGTTTCTGTTTCTAATTTCATCTGTTTTACATCGAACGTGAAGTAAAATCAAAACCCTGAAGTTTGTCAACAGAACTTACGACCACAGATAACCTGAAGAGTTCAGAAATTCTGCAGAACCTGTTTGGGACTCACCTGCACCTGAGATGGAGCCATGCAGGTACACACGGTGCGCAGAGTCTTCAGGCATTTCTCGTGACACATGAAGTTGCACCCTGATGAGGACAACAGGAGACTCAGACCATTGAGCAAGGCACTATTAACTGTTAGTGGACTCACTGTGCACCATTTTAACAGATGTTTCTGTTTCCTACGGTGGCCCTAAGGTGTAAATGAACAACATTTGAAAAAAGCTCAGACACCAATTTAAGATTAAAGCAACAGAGAACTGGTTCTGAACGTTTCAACTGGTCTCTGGTTGAAGTGGGTCAAAGTTCAGAACAGACCTAACGGTTGAAGATCAGACAAACTTGCAATCTCCTGGCCTGAGCAGAACCTTCAGCTGCTTCCCCTCGGGTTCTGTTCTACAAGAATCACAAACAAACTCAATTTGAATTTCAGTTTGAATAAATTTGTTTATTTAAAAAAAGAGAAATGTCCTTAAAGGGAATTAAAAATAGAAGGATTCCAACAACAAACCGTGGTGCCGTTTGTTCTGCAGAACCTTCAGTAAACGCTGCTTCCTGTTCTATTCTAACAAAGAGCGGGTCGGGTCCAAACACACCCGACTTACTGACACCATAATTAAAACATTTCTACTCTGAGACTAAAACCCTTACAATGTTCAATATGAGAAATTAAGATTAGGAAAAACTTTTGCTTATGGTCGTCAGAGTTAAGCAAGCAGAGAGGGTTCATCCATCCATCATTTCATCCATCCATCATTTCATCCATCCATTTGTGTGTGTGTGTGTGTGTGTGTTTAATTCTTGATTAAGAACTGGCTCAGAAAACAAGAAGTAAAAAGAAACTACACGCTACAGACGCAGGAGGTGGAACATCTGGAGAGCTGGTGCAGGAAGATCAACCTTCACATCAATGTGAAGAAGACAAAGGAGATGGTCATGGACTTCAGACGGAACAAGCACACCTACCCCACCCCTGAACCTAGGAGGATCTGCGGTGGAAGTGGTCTCCAGCTACAAGTATTTGGGTGTACACCTGAATGACAACCTCAGCTCGGACAACAACAACACCAGCCTGATCAAGAAAGCTCATCAGAGACTCTACTTCCTCAGGCGGCTGAGACGAGCTGGACTGTGAAGCTCAGTCCTCACCTCCTTCTACAGGTGTGCAGTGGAGAGCATCCTGTGCTCCATCATCAACGTGTGGCATGGAGGCTGCACAGCTGCAGAAAGAAAAGCTTTGCAGAGAGTGGTGAAGGCTGCACAGAAGACGTTGGAGTCAGCCTCCCCACCATCACAGACATCCCTGAGTCAGAGAGATTTATTTGTCATATACACCTCATGTGGTACATGTGGTGGAATGAGATTATGTACACAGGGTCCCAGTTACATCCCACAATAAAATGCAAAAGAAAAACAGTAATAACATCTAAGATATGAACTAAGAAAAGCATCAACTAAAAATATGCTATGCACTAAAAGCATAAAAACAATACATCTACACATCTAGATGCAGGAAGAGGGCCACCTGCATCATGAAGGACACCGCTCACCCAGCACACACACGTTTTGCCCCGCTTCCCTCAGGCAGGAGGTTGAGGAGCATTAAGTGTAGAACCACTAGGCTGAGGAACAGCTTCTACCCTGACTCATAAATCTCTAATCAGGATAATCACTGTGAAGAATCACATCATGTTGCTGCTGATCTGTTTCATGTTGCTGCTGATCTGTTTCATGTTGCTTCATTCGTGCTCATCTGCTCACACAGACTCATGTTCGTGCTGCTGTTCGACGTAATGTTTTTATGCTACTAGTGCTTAGCGTATTTTAAATTAATGTTTTTCTTAGTTCATATCTTAGATCTTATTACGGTTTTTCTTTTATATTTTGTTGGATATAACTGGGAACCTGTGTACACAATTTTGTTCCACCTCATGTACCACATGTGGTGCAAATGACAAATAAAGAAACTCTCTCTCTCTGATAAAAACATTCCCCCTGCAGATGTTTCAGTTCTGTAACAGAACCTTGGTCCTGCAGAACGTTCAGATTCAGCTGATCCTGACGTGCCTCCAGCAGCTCCTCCAGGGTTTTAGGAAACTGCTCAGTGTTATGTCACCTATAGAGGAAGACTCTCACACACTGGTTACACTGGGTCAGGGGTTCTGTGAGTGTGGCATCATATGGTTTGTGTCTCGGTGTCGTTCTGTATGGTTCTGTGTGGGTCTTACTGTGGTTCTTGCTGTGGCTCTGCATGGTTTTATGTGGTTCCATATGGTTCTGTTTGGCTCGCAGTAGTTATATGAGTTTGGTTACATGTGGTTCTTATGGCGTAGGTCTCAGTATGGTTAGTCTCAGAAAAAACTGGTTACTGTACTATTGCAATGGTTTGTCATCTGGGTGTCCAAAAACTAATTTTAAAAAGTCTTCAGTTGATCCAAAATGCTGCTGCCGGAGTCTTTTCAAAATTCTAAATAGTCTAATCTACAAAGCCCTCAACAACCTAGATCCATCTCATATTAGAGATCTTATCGTTCCATGTTTTCCTAACAGAGCACTTGGCTGTGTAGGTCTCAGTTTGGTTCTGGTTCGGTCTCTCTGGTAGATGAGTCCCAGAGGCTCAATGGGATCAACCTGTAGAAATGAAGGTTGGATGAAAAACATGGTTCTGTTTGGGTCCTACCTTCACACAGGAACCCGATCAGGCCCCAGACGAAGTCGCTGCAGCCGTGGCAGAACGTGGGTTTGGTCAGAGTGACCCTCTTGAAGCAGTGACCCGGTCCGGAGCTCTGGTATTTGGACCGGGTACCCGGAGACTGCTGGGCCCTCTTCTTCACCGACATCGGACTCGCTGCTTGGCCGTTCGGGGGATCAGGATCCTCCGAACCGGGCTGACCTGACTCGGCCATGTCCTTCCACAAAAGTCACCAACAACACGGAACCACACGGGGTCCAATCCGGCAGAAAAGCCTGGATTTGTAGTGAATATTCCACCCGAACCGGGAGGAGCTCCACCGGGACGAGCACAGCGGAGCAGCCCGGCGAAGAGGCGCCGTGCGCGGCGTGATTCCTGAAGTTTCCCCGTCCTTCGAAAGCTAATGCTCCAGCGTCGAAAAGCACAAGGCACAACAGTCGGTTCCGACAGTGTAACGCAAACTGGGTCGGTTTAGTGTTAAATATGACGCTGTAGTTGTTCCCTGATAAACGCTCATTTCACCGGTAGGAGCCAGCGGTGCTGCCCGGCGGAGAGGGCGCCGAGGTCGGTGTGCTTCCTGGAGGATCCCGCCGAACCGACCGAATCATCAAACTCCTGGAAAAATAACTCGGAACCATTGGAGCCCAGAACCCAGAGCCTTTTCGGTAGCGTTCACCAGCCCAGAAGAGCCGAGTCCCTCCGCCCAGAGACAGCGGTGCCACCCAGCGGCGCCGCGCGGAGCGGAGCCCCGGAGCCCGGGCTCAGGAGGCTGGATGAATAAAAGATGACTTATCGATCCGACACACCCGCATACCGAGGCGGATGGAGGACCGGTCGGCGGCGAACCAGCGGGGCCAAGACCGGAGCAGCACGAGAAAGCGGCGAGCAGAGGCCGAGGAAGCGCAGGAGGAGCCGGTGTTGTGTCAAAAAGTGACCGTCTGCCAAAACTGATCGGAGCGCTCCCGTGGCGCGCTCCTTCGCGAGGGCGCGCCCGAACTCACCCGATCAGTTTTCGACACAACACCGGTCGTGTGACCAGACATTCCGCAACAAGTTCGAACCAGTGCTAAATTGTTTTAACCTACTTAGATTTTAAAAATTCAGTGAGAAATCTTTGTTTTCCACAGTTATGAATATGACTAAGGAGTGTCACAGCAAATTAGACCTACTACTCAATATGATCAGTGGACAGTACATTTACTCGAGTACTGTACTTAAGTATATTTTCTGAATATGGAGTATTTGTGTTTTGGGGAACTTTTGACTTTCCAGTGTTGTAATGTAACAAAGTAGAAATACTTTGTTACTGTACTTAAGAAGAATTTTGACATTTTTACTTTACTTCGTTATTTACATTTTTAGCGACTTTCACTTTTACTTCAATACATTTCCCTTAACCATCTTAGTTACTAGTTACTACAATTTAAAATTAGAAGAAATCTGATTGGGCGATGCCTGTGACTTCATGCGGCCACTTCTCGCTCCCTCACTGACACTCAGTCACAAACCCAGCCTCTCCCCCACGCTTGTGTGAAAACTGCAGCTCCCGCTGTGAACAAGCGAGATGCAGATATTAATTGTTACAACAGAGCTTTGATGACTCACAGTGGAGACACGTTCCTGATTCTGGTCCAGAGGACCTGACTTAACTTTTTTAGATCCTATATTATTCTGATGCATGCTCAATAATCCGGGTAGAAAAATCTAAAAAAGTTAAATCTGGTCCTCTGGACATTCAAAAAAATAAAACAAAGCAAAACAAAAAAATGTAGAAAGGTTTCGTCTCTCATCCAAGAGACTTCCTCAGTCTGAGGTGCTGTTTTCAGTTCAGTCTCTTAAATAGCACCTTCTCAGAGTGGATCAACCAGTTTGCTGCTGACAACCAAAACCAGCTGATCACATGCTCAAGAAGGACCATCAGCCTAACAATGGGTCATTAGCACACTGATGGCTGTTTACTATTCACAGAGGGATGAGTGATACTAGCAATCACAGCATTGTAAGAGGGGGACAGTTGAACCCGGAGGCCTCCACCCCTGTTTAATGATGAACAGTTTCTTTTCACAAAGATGGCCTCCTTTACTCCTCTCTTCAACCATCGTTCCTCTCTATCCAGAATGTGAACATCTTCATCCCTGAAAGAGTGACCGCTGGCCTGGAGATGAGTGTAGACCGCAGAGTCCTGGCCTGATGATGTTGATCTTCTGTGCTGGGCCATCCTTTTGGCCAGTGGCTGTTTTGTTTCCCCGATGTAAGACTGATCACAGCCCTCCTGACACTGAACAGCATACACAACATTGCTCTGTTTGTGCCGGGGGACTGGATCTTTGGGATGAACCAGTCTTTGCCGTAATGTATTTTGGGGTTTAAAAGCCACTGGGACGTTATGTTTAGAAAATAAACGTCTCAGTTTCTCTGATACTCCCTCAACATATGGAATGACCACTGGTCTGGGTCTGGGTTCCTCCTTTTCACCTGTTGGCTGACTGGAGTCCTGTTTGGGTTTCTTCTCTGCTTTTAGGAAGGCCCAGTTAGGATATCCACATTGCTCTAGAGCCTGTCTTGTGTGGGATTTCTCCTTCTGCCTGGCTCTCGAGTTAGTGGGGACGCAGTCTGCTCTGTGGTACAGAGTCCTGATGACTCCTAACTTGTGCTCCAAAGGGTGATGGGAGTCAAACTGCAAATACTGGTCTGTGTGTGTGGGTTTGCGGTACACCTCAGTTTGCAAATGTCCTCTATCAGAGACTGAGACCTCACAGTCCAAGAAAGCCAACCTGCCATTTTTTACATCTTCTTGTGTGAACTTGATGTATTTATCCACAGAGTTGATGTGATCAGTAAAATGTTGGACTTCCTGAGATTTAATTTTAACCCAGGTGTCGTCAACATACCTGAACCAATGACTTGGTGGTGTCCCTGAAAAGGACGTCAAGGCTCTCTTTTCTACCTCCTCCATGTACAGGTTGGCAACAATAGGAGAAACTGGAGACCCCATAGCACACCCATGTTTCTGCCTATAATATTGCTCCCCATATGTTAAGTAGGTTGACTGCAGGCACAGTTTCAAGAGTTGACACAGTTGTTCTGTGGAAAGCGTGTTCCTGCTGCTCAGAGTGGTGTCTGATTTTAATCTTAAACTGACCACCTCTACTGCATCATCAACAGGAATGCACGTAAAGAGTGATGTGACATCAAAAGAGACCATTGTTTCATCAGTCTCCATGATGACCTCCCTCACCTTATCCACAAAGTCCATGGTGTTCAGTGTTCAGTGTCTGTGGAAACTTCACACTGGACCTCAAGCAATGCGGATTATGTGCCTCTCCTCTCTTCCTCCAGACTATGGGCCCTTGATTTCCAAAGGAAATGCAAATTTTACTTTCATCAGAAAACATAACTTTGGACATGTCTATGTGTCCTGAGGTCCAAGTTCAACGCAGCTACCAGAAAGTTTTAGAGCACTTCATGCTTCCTGCTGCAGACCAACATTATGGAGATGCAGATTTTATTTTCCAACAGGACTTGGCACCTGCACACAGTGCCAAAACTACCAGTACTTGGTTGAAGGACCGTGGTATACCTGTTCAACTCGCCTGACCTTAACCCCATAGAAAATCTATGGGGTATTGTGAAGAGGAAGATGCGATGCGCCAGACCCAAGGCCACTATCAGAGCAACCTGGGCTCTCAGTGCCACAGACTGATCGACTCCATGCCACGCCGCATTGCTGCAGTCATCCAGGCAAAACGAGCCCAAATTAAGTACCGAGTGCTGTACATGCTCATACTTTTCATTCGGACAACATTTCTAAAAATCCTTTGTTTTAATCAGTCTTAATATTCAAATTTTCTGAGATGCTGAATTTGGGGTTTTCATTAGTTGTCGGTTATAATCATCAACATTAAACATAAATAGGGATGCACGATGTTATCGGCACGTATCAGTATCGGCCGATATTAGCGTTAAAGTTCAATATCGTACATCGGACGTTCCATTAAGAGAACTCGCTGATATAAAAGGTGCTGTTTTTGCCTGATTTTTGTGATGACGTCACGTGCGCCTACCCGATCTCACGGCGGAGAGGAAAATTCAAAAAGTCGGAGGTGTGGAAGTTTTATTTTTTGTTGGTGAAGATGTCGGATTCCGAAGATTTATGGACTGAGCCTCGCTACATCATCCCCAGTCGGAGATATTTTTCTGACGTAACCGTAACGTTACCCGAGTTACAAGCCGTCATTTCCGACGTCAGTGAGAAGCTAATAGCCGATAGCACGACTTGTTGGGTGAGTTTTACCACAGACATTTGGACGTTGTGTTAGCTCCGTTAGCATGATTAGTCTTACGACACAAAAACTTTGAACTTTTCATTCAACCTTTATTTAGAATTTGATTCAAAACGTCTGGTTGTCAGCTCAGACCTTCGCATGGCGGCAGTCTCCTTCACATTTTAACATTTAAATGCAGCTTTTGCAAACAATAATTGTGCAGTAAGTCTATAAGTTGAGCAACTTGGAGGATTTGCTTAAAATAATATTTGATTCGTTGTGTGCAGAAACACAATATTGGAAATGTTTCCATTTTGCCCGCGTACATAATTTAAACTACAAAAAAAACAGAAAACTGCAACGCAGGTTTAAATAACTGCACTATTAGTGTTGTTAAAATACAAGTACAGGCTGTAAATAACCCTTTCTTGTCCCCTTTCTGTCTAATTTGCAGCTAAAACAAAACCAATCATATCCACTTTTACACTGACAGTGTTTTTGTTTACCTCTATCAAGGTCTTCACAAAAGTCTTCAGGAGCATCTTTATGGTCTTTGTCTTCAAGAGAGGAAACGGACATGTTAACACCAAAGTATTATTTTACACACATACGGAGCGCATACACGTTTAAATGTGAATACATTTGTTTGGAGTTTGTATCTTGTGTGAGTCGAAAAGCTCTACAGATTCTCAGGATGCTCAGGTTGAAAGGGAAGTTGCTGCGCATTTGGATCTCAATGGAAACGATTCCAATGACGGAGCATCTGTTGACAGTGGAGGAAACTCATTTCAACTGCCTGTATCTACGATCTCATTCTTTCGGTCGCTACCCAGAGCTCATGACCATAGGTGAGGGTAGGAACGTACACCGACCGGTAAACAGAGAGCTTTGCCTTACAGCTCAGCACTCTCTTCACCACAACGGACCGGTACAGAGTCTGCAATACTGCAGATGATGCACCAATCCGTCTGTCAATCACACGCCCCATTCTTCCCTCACTCGTGAACAAAACCCCAAGATACTTGAACTCCTCCACTTGAGGCAGAACC